CATTGGTATTAAAGAATTGAGATAACGCTAAAGAAAAAAGGATATAAAGGGAGATAATGATTTATGCCAAATTAATTTCCCCATAACCAATCACGATGTGAATGTAAATTGCCATAAATGAGTTTGCAAACCGATTGAGAATTGCTTCTTTTCCACATGGGGAAATCCTTTCGAGTTGGAGTAAGAGGAATAGTAAGAATATGCTTTGCATTTTGTTCTCCCACCATAGAACACAACTTAGGGTAATCCGAACCATCTTGAGAAAAGAAATCGGAGACCAATAAGGAATTAGGATGAGGAGAGTGAGTATAGTCAGAGTTATGTGAAAAACCCCAATTATCATTCCAGAAGGAAATATTCCCATCGCCAATGTCCCAAAAGATGAAATCGTTTGCTGTGTCTTTAGCATTAACCACCACCTTCCAAATACGAGAATCTCCCACCTTCCACAAAACCAAGGAAGAGTGAGTTTGAGCACAGTATTTTTGATGCAGAAACAAAGCCCAAAGAGAGGAACCCAATCTGAATTTATACCATAGTTTGCAAAGGTTAACTTCAACAATATGTTTTAATGCCTTAAAACCAAAGCCACCAGCCTTTTTAGGCTTACAAACGTTATGCCAAGTACTCCAAATTTTCTTAGCACCATTCCCCACCTAAAGAAATTTATTAAATAACATCTCCATCATAATAATAGCACTTATCTTGGGGTTGAACACTTGCAAAGCATAAAGTGAAATACTTTGAAAAACACTAGAAAACAAAGAGATTCTTCCTCCAGTGGAAATGAAAACATTTCTCCAATCATTAATTTTACGTTTGATTTTATCAATCACATCATCCATATGTATCTGTTTCCTCCTCCCCCTTATTAAATTTACCCCAAGATATTTAAGAGGAAGAGAGACATGATGAAAATCAGTAAATGTAACACCCCATTGAATAAGATGTTGCTTAACCTGCTGCCAAAAAACATCTGACACTTGTCACTATTAAAGCGAAGGCCAGAGCAGTTCTGAAAATCCTGTAAAAGCCCTATCACTTGTTTTATAACAAGTTTAGATGCATTAGAAAAAATAATAACGTCATCAGCATAAGCAAGGTGGGAGACCGTCATTTTAGCTTTATGAGAAAACTGAGCATCAGGATGTGAAAATTGGAAATGGTTAAGCAACATGGCAAAATAATCAAAATCTAGAATAAAAATTATAGGAGAAAGGGGGTCTCCCTGTTTAATGCCACGAGAAGTAGTGAAAAATTCATAAGAGTTTCCATCAACTAAGACATAGTAAAAGTTGTTAGCAAACTATATTTTAATCAAAGAGCAAAAACTTGTATTGAAACCCTTAGCTTTCAGAACGTTGATAATGAAATCCTAATTTATGGTGTTGAAGGCTTTCTTGATATCTAATTTGATAACCAGATTGCCACCCCTGCATTTTTTATCCAGATCCTGTAATATTTCATGTGCCAAAAGAATATTATCAGAAATATCTCGACTTTTAATGAAGACCGACTGATGAGGGGAAATAAGGGAAGGGAAGTGAGGTTGGAGACGAGCCACAATCAATTTACTAATAATTTTAGAAACAACAGAGGTTAGAGAGATGTGCCGAAAGTCCTTCCAGTGTGATTTTGCATTAGACTTAGGGATGAGAACAATCAAAGCAACAGAGAAGTATTTCGCAGGATCAACCCCCTGAAAGAAACTCTGAATAGCAAGCACTACTTCATGCTTAATAATGTTCCAACAGAAAATATAAAAAGTGGAGGTGAAACCATCTGGACCGGGAGCCTTCTGAGAGCTAATATCTTTAAGAGCAGTACAAATTTCCAACTTAATAGCGGGTTCGAACAAAGAGAGGGTGGAGACCATGTCTCTTTAATCCTAAAAAAAATCAGTAATAATATCCTTAACAGATAGAGTATCAGCATAAAGAGAAGAGAAATAGTCAACCGCATTGAAACCAATCTGGTCAGTATCAGTGAGAACATGGCCGTCTTCAGTGACAATCTTTATAATGATGTTTATATTATGACGATGCTTGATAGTAACATGAAAATACTTGGTGTTTCTGTCCCAATTCTTGAAATGGTTGTCACAAGCTTTATGTCGAAGGAAATCATCCTCAATTGAGATTTCCTTTAATAGGTTGTGATGAGCATCAGGTAATTTGGACACAAGATCATGAGTGCCAATCAACTGTGATTCTAAAGAATCAACCTCCCGTTGGGCCTTCAAAATCCTAGAGTGAACATTGCCGAATGTATCAATGTTCCATCTCTTTAAATGAGAAATCACATTTTTATGGAGTTGCCATAAAATGAGCCACGGGTTACCACTCCATCTAGAAACCCAAGCCTGCTTAATCAAGTCAATAAAAGTAGGGTGAGAAGCCCAAACATTAAGAAATTTGAAATGATAGCGAGAAGGTTTGGAATGAAAAGCTAAGTTGAGCAATATAAGATTATGATCCGATGAAGCATGATTCAGATGTTTGACATGTATAATATTATAGTAACCCAAAAACTCTGAGTTTCCCAGAAATCTGTCCAAGCGTTGCATAAGAAAACCCCGCCGCCAAGTATAAGGACCAGAAAAACCTAAATCATAAAGGCCAACATCCTCAAAATGTTCACATAATTGATTTGTAAGACTCGTGTCAACTTTATTACCACTCCATCTCTCAGAAGGTGACATAATCATATTTAAATCACCTCCAACGAACCAATTATCAGTAATAGCAACACCCATATGAGTAAGTTGCTGTCAAAGAAGGAGTTTATCCCTTAAATGAGAGCTTGCGTAAATATAGACCAACCTGAAAAATTCTTATATTGATATTGAATAAGAACATATTGCATATTATCATTAATGATTTTAAGAGTGATATCCTTCTGCCAAAAGAGACAAATTTTTTTATTGACATTACAGAAATGCAAATACCCCTTGAACTTCTTGATGATGTTATCTTTATGTATCGAGACAAGAGGTTCCAAAAGAACAAAAATATCAGGTTGGACCCTACATAAATGCTTCAAATGATTAAAGGAGTGAGGGTCCGCCACTCCTCTAATGTTCCACACCAAAACATTAAACATTTTGGCCCATGTCACCCTCCCCACCTAGCAAGCCTAGAGGGAAGGTGCAAGTGCTCACCTTCCGAATGATAAGAGAAATCAATATTGTTTGTTTGTATCATATTTGGAAGCTCAGATTTCCTTCTCCTTTTTTTCCTACTATATCTCTGAATTTGCCATTCAGATTCTAAAACAGAGGCGGCTAAAGATGATGGATCCTGTTGTAATGAATTAGACACAGAAGTAGAGAGGTGGGTGATAGCGTGAGTGATAGCATGTGGGGGATCAACAACTTCCAATTGTATAAGTGACTTAGCAGGCATGTGAGGGAGGGGGGCTCTGTTTCAACTACGGGTGTAACAGAGGGTTCCACATTATCAACATTTCTAATAGGCCTTTTCTCAGCTGCAGGAAGAGGCACATTGGTTGCCTCCAAACAGGGAGCATCCATATCAACAGGACCCATGCAAACATCAGCAGACTGCGCAACAGGTTCAGAGAAAATAGTAGGTATAGCCGATTTATGCTCAACAGAAGCAACATGACCAGCAGGAAGCTTCCTTAGGTCGGGGTGCAAGTGAAAACAATGATCAAAATCATGACCAAACATGCTATAATGCAAACAGTAATGAGGATGCTTTTCAAGCAAAATCGACTGCCAATAACCAGTATGACTAGAGTCAATCCAAATCTCCTCCGGAGGAGGTAAGGTAACGTCACTTTCTATTAAAATTCTAGCGATTGAGGGTCTTGTTAAATTAAAGGTAGGGGCATCAAGCATTAGAGGCTTACCATACATGGCAGCAATAGAAAACAATATTTTGTGATTGAACAAATGCACATTCAGACCTGAAAGTCTAAGCCAGACATGAATATTAGGAAGCTCGGTTTTAGGGTTAAAATCAACAATCCATTTAAGGACCTTCATCCAAATATCACCAAAATGAACAATTCTACGTCAAAAAATTTAGCATAATCATCTTCGTTAGAGAGCTGTATTAGAATATGTCGGCTATCCAAAGCCCCAATCTTCTAACCCCCCGATAACTTCAGAAGCTCAAAGTTCTTCATAAAAAAATCGTATTTCAGAAGTACCAACTAGATGAAAGGGACAGACAGAGGTGAGAATAGAGTTTTCAGAATCGGAGCGCACATTCCCCCCCCCCCCCCCCCCTACGACCCTGAGATTTAATGAAACTGTATTTCCCACCAAGAACAAGTGATTCGTGAAAGGAGGATGGGAATGCAAACTTCGGAGTCCCAAGGGAAGAAGCCCTCGTAGTGACCCCGACGTACGTCTTAGCCATACCCGAAAAGATAAGGAAAAGTCGGGAGAAGAAACCAAGTGCGAGAGGGAGGCCAAAACCAAAAAACCAGAAAGATCTCACCAGGGAGAGGCCGTCGAGAACGAGCGACACGAGATCACCCTTAGCTCCAAACCCTAGTCGAGATATGTATGTATGTATGTATGTCTGTGTGTGTGTGTGTGTGTGGGTGTGTGGGTGTGTGGGGGGGGG